GTGTGGTAAATGTGGGTTACAGGGACAGGGTGGGATCCGGGCATGGAAGGGATGCTGTTCAGAGGGTCAGTGCAGATTCGATGACCCCTTCCCACACTGTAGGGATTCTGTTTCCTATTTATTTAAGATCTAGTGAAAATCACGTATGGAACTAGACCTCAAACTGGGCCTTTATAAGCTAATTTGTTTTAATTCATTCATATTGCTAAGCTGTGCATGTTGACTTGGCACTTGCCTGCATGAAAAGCTCAAAAGCATAATCTTTTTTGTTTCAGACTAGTTGATCATTTAAGACTGACAAAGGCTGCCGTAGTTATACAGAGACAGTATCGAATGTTGGCTGTGAGGAGGCTGTATGTACTCATCCGTACAGCGGTAATTACTATTCAAGCTTATGCAAAAGGCATGATTACAAGACGAATGTATCATAAGGCAAGTCTTTGTAGAGCATTGTACGCTCTCAGCAGTTTCTGTAATTGTTTCGGTTCTTAACTAAGAAAAAAATTTACTCCGATATCCTGCGAAGAATTTTTGTGAAGTTATTCGATTGATCACATTTTCATCTGAGGCCGGAAGGTCAAGTCAGGGGTCAGAGTCCCAAGCACAAATCAAGATGACCAATCCAGTCTCGCACTGTCCTAGAAGCTGTCAATCACGTGAGCTGTCAAACAATAGCCTGAGATGTTTCACCACAATGTAAAGGGGCCTGGTAGCTACTGACCCTTTTTTTCTCTAATTCTTCAGTGTTCACCAAACCCTTTGTTGGCCTTGATCATGGCTCGTAAGTTGAGTATGAGATACATACTTGGGCCTAGGGGATTTCAGAAGGATAGGATTGACCATACTTTTTTCAAGGTGTTTAATCATCCCCTACCATCAATCCTTGGCATCCTGGTCAATATCTCTCTCGATCAATCACAGGTCTAGCCACTATATTTTGCTTTTTGAGACCTTGCTGTGTACAAATTGACTCCCTGTATACTGTTTCCTGTATTGTTATGGTGACTCTCCTGTCAAAACACCTCATTGGCTGTAAAGCATTTTGAGATCAGTATTTTATAGGTGCAAGTTTGTCTTGCTTCAATATTTTGACTGAGACTGGAGGATGTGCATATATTCCAATCTCTCCTCCACAGATTACAGCATGAAATTAAGTATTTTTTTTCCCAGTTACTGAGATGGCCAGTTATAAATAACTTTTCTACATTAGGTTTTGAAATAAAGATCTATTACCCAGATTTAATAAACCATAATTTAGCAAAATAAAGGTTTAGTAAATATACAAGTGTTTAGTGTTTATAAAAGTATGTGTTTGTCAGTCTCTAGATGTCCACAAAACACTCATCAGCAAAATCAGGGGAGAAAAACAGATTTCTCTGCAGAGGTTGGCATTCTGAACAAAAGAAAAAGATGTTTTGGCCAATGGGTTATTCATGAAGGTGTAGAAGGTTCTGATTTTCTCTTGCTCTGATGTGACCTGGCTACACCTGTCAGAACTTAATTCTATGTGTTTGAGTCCCTGCAGACACAGCTTGCTCAGGAAATACAATATTACAGAAGAGCAAATAGGTTTCACCCTAAACTCAAGAGGTGCTACTTTCAGAAATCCAGATCAGCTGGACAGCCCTTCCTCATAAGCTGCTTGACCCCTGCCCCGCCCCACCCCAACTGAAGACCACAAAAAAAAACTCTCCAATTCAATCACTGTTCAGAGCCCCATTGCCCCGAGAACCAAACATGGTCACCACCCATGTGATTTCTAGGAAACCCATTTATAAAAATCATGTCCATAAATGACCTTTTTTGATTACCCCTCAACCAATCCAGGTATTTCCACAAAACCTGAAATAAATCAACTTTTCCACAATTCTTTAAAATGTAAATTTACTAAGAAGTTTTAAATATGAATCAACTTCATTACACTCAACTTTGTGGTTTTTGAGGTATAGAAAGGCTTTCGACATCAATTTCCAGCTGTTAAATTTTACTAAGTGTGTACTTTCAAAGTTCTTATCATATTCTTCAAATATACGCCAGCTTAAGCTTTCTGTGAATGAGTGGAAAAGGGTAAGGGCATATGAAAGAAAGTTTCCTTTTGAGTGCTACAGGAAGTTATTTCTTTAGCATTACTAAAAATATACACACTTACTTTTAATTAGATGGTCCAGGAGCAAAAGGCTACTGTCATACAGAAGTATGTGCGAGGATGGCTGAGCTTTTTAAGATATCAAAGAATCCGGCATGCGGCTATCCACTTGCAATGTTGTTTCCGACGAATGATGGCATATCGCCAACTGAAGACGCTGAAGGTTGAAGCGCGCTCGGTTGAGCACTACAAAAAACTGAACAAAGGAATGGAAAACAAGATCTTGCAACTGCAATATAAAGTGAATGATCAGGTAAATTGTGTTGGGGATTCTGTATGTGGAAGTCCGTTTGGTCTTGTAAAATGCTTCACTCGTGCTAAATGTGCAGCGGTATTGTCAATGGATGCAGAATGAGATGTGCACAACTAACATTTATACAGTCAGTATATGGAGCGGGGTCAAAGACCCACAAGTGGAGCTTTGCAATGGAGGAGGGCCACAGATACAAAAGCATGGATAAACTTTTGTATAACAGAGCGCTAGAAACTGGTGATGTTGAGAAGGGAACGGGTGGGCTTGCTGATGGAAAATATGTTATTGGAAGCTTATCTCGGAATCCAGGATCGCCAATGGTCTTGTTCAGGCTGAGTGAGGCACCACAGAAGGTGATTGAATTAATCTAAGATGATCATTTTGTGATGGGCACCAAGAATAATGTGGAATTGGGACTTTTGTGATTGGCAGACAAAAGTGTCTGGGACGCAATAAGCGGGTGATGCTCATTTTAAACTAAGAAATACAAAAACTCCAGAGACCGCAGAAGAGTATGTAGAAAGTAGTTGATTGTAAAAAGGATAATAAGACCTTGTTGAACTTGCATGCCACCAACACCCACCCAACCCCAGGAAGGTTTTGAATACTTTTGTTTTGATACAGTCTGGTGAAGCATATGATGGTTTGATCGGGTAATGAAAAACCTGTTAGGTTCAGGTTTGTGCACTTCCGATCTGAGAGGGAGTAACAAGAGATGGGGAACTGATTTGGCTGGGAATAGGAGTACCGAAAATGTGGAGTGATTATTTTTTTTAGCAGCAAGGCTGCAGTTTTGTCTTTTTCAAGATTTGGTTATGGCTGTTATGGAATCAGTTCAGTCTAATTAAATGTCAAATTCATAGCTTGATGGCTTCAGTTTTAACCTTTTTGCATTTGAGGGGGCTGCATTGGGTAGACCTTAATTTGAAACCTGAGAGGAATAGCAGTTAATGATAAGTTTGTTTTTTTTCCCTTCTTTCTACTATTGCCATCCTAGTGTTTATGAAAGTGTATGCATGCTCCTGTGGCAGGCTGAGCTGTTTCCTACAGACTGTCCAGCCATGGTCTGGTCTTGACCAACTCCTGAGAGTTTGGTACTGACTTTGGGATTTTCCTCTTTGGCTCCTGAATGGAATTCAGTTCCTGGTCCAATTCCCATTCCTTGCAAGTACATGCACTTTTTAAAAATAATATTTCTAAATTCTGAAGGCTATGGTGTTAAGTTCTCAAATGTTTTCCTGTAAGTGATTTTAATCCCAAGACCATACCAGTTTTTTTAAAAACAGATTTGTTGCATTTTTTTTGTGATTTAGGGTCCACGTAGTGCATCATTCTGACTGTAGCATCCTCCAAACACCACCCATTAGGTCCTGTGCTGGTCGTATTTTTCTCTGCTTGTGGGGCAAAGTCAATGTTTCCAATCTCTCCATAACAAAATTCTCATTTTGTTTCATTACAGTGAAGGGTTTAAAGCTCCTCTTGAATACAGCAAGCAAATTACCCAAACTAATCAAACATATTGAGCAAAAATCTGCCACATGTGGATTATGCATGTGGGCCTGAAACGTCAGCCTCTCTGCTCCTATGATGCTGCTTGGCCTGCTGTGTTCATCCAGCCCTGCACCATGCATGTTTCATTGTTGCTTTATCTAAAAAGGATTGCAGAAAAGGTTGCTCTTCTGATGAGGATTGATAGAAACCCTTTTCAATATAGGGGTCCCAGATACGTGTGGCACCTTTCTTACCAGCTCACTTTGGTTTTACAGGTTATTGTTTTGACCTGCTCAATATTTTTTAAAAAAAACCTCCTCCTGTTGGTCAACATTCAGAGCTTTAATTTCATTTTTTAAAATGAAGTTTTTGAAGCTACTTTAGAAACTCTACCTGTAGACAGATATAAATTGTTTAGTCAAAAAGTAAGAGTTTGAAATCACAAAGAATGACTATTGCACAAGTGCATACTACAATTGAAACTACGACGTTTCAGCCATATCAAATATCAGCAAAATGAATGAACAAACAGGTCCCTGTCAGCTGTATAAGACTAGCTGAACATTTTCTAGGTTGTGGTGATTCAGTTCGTCATGGCTTGAGTCCAGAACACACACCTGCTAAAATTTAATGAAATTGCTCTTGTAAGGAAGCCAGAGATGGCTGATAGTTACTACTTTTACTTTTCCCTGAGATGTTGCAGAATAGGAGACTCTGTTTTGAATTGTGCTGTGATCAATAGTAAATAAAAATACAATAGGATGGAATTACTCAATAAATCAGGCCTTTAAGTTAGAAACTTTGGAACTAAAGTTAAATATAATTGTTTTTAAGTGGGAAGTGAGGGGGAATAGAAAAAGATCAAAAATGCTCTGTGACAAAATGGAAGACTGAATGTGAATGAAATGGCAAAAAATATTTTATTCTGTAATACTAAAGATTTTAACCTCGACCATGGGACAAATGTATCAAAATTGCCTGATGGTCCTCTTTTTTTTTTAAAAGCAATTACTAGTTGGTCTGTAGGTCCATTCTTTGTTTTTGCTATCTTAAGATAAAGTTGCAACGATTGACTTGGTGATGGGGAATTAATGGCTCCCACTAGTGATCAGATCATACATCAGTGGAGACTTTAGTTGAGAAGAATATTGGACTTCTGTGTTACTTCTTTGCAGGGACTGATGCATAATGAGAGAATGTCCAACAACTGTTGGCATAGGGACTTGAAAATAAGGGAAGTAAACACGTGGCTAAAAGAGTGGTGCGGGAAAGAAGGGTTCCTTTTCATGTGGCATTGGCATCAGTATTGGAACAGGAGGGATCTGTACCGTTAGGACGGTCTCCACTTGAATTGAGCTGGGACCGATGTTCTAGCGAAAAGGGTAAATAGGCTGGTCAACAGGACTTTAAACTAGAAAGTGGGGGAAGGGAATGGTGAAACTTTTCCCAATGGGAAACAAAGCAGGTTATCATCTGTAGTGGTGGATTCAACTAACTGGAACAATATGAATGAAATGACGGGGAAGGAGAATTCAGGAGAGGTTATTAATGTCTCCAGCACAGACACACATAGGACAGTGTTTGGAAAAGGCTGGCAATCAAACACTGGAGAAACAAATGAAGAGGGAGAGTTAATACAGGACTAAAGGTGTTATATCTAAAATGCATGCAGTATAAGTAATAAGGTAAATAAGCTTGTGACGCAGATCGAAACTGGCAGATATGACATGGTAGGTATCACGGAGATGTGGCTGCAAGGGGATCAGGATTAGGAACTGTATATCCAAGGATAAATATCCTATCGAAAAGATAGGCAGGTGGGCCCAGGGGGTGGGGTTGCCTTATTAGTGAGAAATGAAATTAAACTAATAAGAAGAAATGAAGTAGGGTCAGATGGTATAGAATTTGTGGGGGTAGAATTGAGGAATTGCAAAGGTAAAAAAATCCATAGTTGGAGTTGTGTACAGGCCTCCAAACAGTAGTCAGGAGCTGGGGCAGAAGATACAACAGGAGATAGAAAAGGTGTGTAAGAATGGCAGAGTCACAGTGATCATTGGGGATTTAGGTATGTGGGTGGACTGGGAAAATCATGTTGGTAGTGGATTGTAAGAAAAGGAGTTTGTGGAATGTCTACAAGATGGTTTTTTGGAGCAGCCCTGTGGTGGAGCCCATAAGGGAACAGGCAATACTGGATTTAGTGTTGTGCAATGAGGCAGACTTGATCAGGGTTCCTTTACGTTAAGCTCCCTTAGGAGACAGTAATCATAAGATGATTGAATTTACTCTGCAATTTGAGAGGGAGAAGATCGAGTCAGAAATAACGGTATTACAGCTGAATAAAGGTGACTACAGAGGTATGAGGGAGGAACTGGGCAGAATTGTCTGGATAAGGAGCCTAGCAGGAAAGACAGTGGAACAGCAATGGCAGGAGTTTCTGGGAGTAATTCAGGAGACGGAACAAAAATTCATCACTAGGAAAAAGAAGCATGGTACAGGGAGGATGAGGCAACCTTGGCTGACTAAGGAAGTCAGGGATAGCATAAAAGCAAAAGAAAAAGCATATAATGTGGCGAAGGGCAGTGGGAAACCAGAGGACTGGGAAGCTTAAAGACTAACCGACAGTAACAAAAAAAGAAATAAGGAGGGAGAAGATTAAATGAGAGTAAGCTAGTCAGTAATATAAATGAAGACTGAGTTTCTTTAGGTATATAAAGGGCAAAAGTGGACATAGGACCACTGGCAAATGACGGTGGGGATCAAGGAAATGGCTGAGGAACTGAATAATTACTTCGCATCAGTCTTCACAGTGGAAGACACAAGTAAAATCCCAAAAATTTGAGTGTCGGGGACAGAGCTGAGTATGGTGGCCATCACCAAGGAAAAGGTACTAGTAAAACTGATTGATTGATTGGCCTGAAGTTGGAAAAATCACCTGGACCAGATGGACTACACCCCAGAGTTCTAAAGGAGATCGCTGAAGAGATAGTGGAAGCGTTAGTGGTGATCTTTTAGGAATCGCTAGAGTCTGGGAGGGTCCCAGAGGACTGGAAAATCACTAATGTGACTCCCCTGTTTAAAAAGGGAGTAAGACAAAGACAAAATTACAGGCTGATTAGCCTAACCTCGGTTGTGGATAAGATTTTAGAGTCCATTGTGAAGGATGAGATTTCTGAATATTTGGAAATGCATAGTAAAATAGGGCAAAGTCAGCATGGTTTCATCATCTGCTAGAATTCTTTGAGGAAGTAACGAGCAAGGTAGACCGAGGAGAGCCAATGGATGTTATCTACCTGGACTTCAAGAAGGCCTTTGATAAGGTGCCACACAGGAGGTTGCTGAGTAAGATAAGGGCCCATGGTGTTAGAGGCAAGGTGCTAGCATGGATAGAAGATGGAAGCTGGTGACGAGTGGTGTTCTGCAAGTGCCAGTGCTGGGACCACAACTTTTCACTTTGTACATAAATGATCTCGATGAAGGAACTATGGGCAATCTGGCTAAGTTTGCAGATGATACAAAGGTAGGTGTGGGGACAGGTAGTATTGAGGAGGTGGCAAGGCTTCATAAGAATTTGGACAGGTTAGGAGAGTGGGCAAAGAAGTGGCAGATGGAGTACAACGTGGGAAAGTGTGAGGTCATGCACTTTGGTAAGAAGAATAGAAGCTATTTTCTAAATGGGGAGAAAATTCAGAAATCTGAAGTGCAAAGAGACTTGGGAGTTCTAGTCCAGGATTATCTCCGGTAAACTTGCAGGTTAAGTCAATAGTTAGGAAGGCAAATGCAACTTTGACATTTATTTTGAGAGGACTTGAATATAAAAGCAGGGATGTACTACTGAGGCTTTATAAGGCTCTGGTCAGGCCACACTTGGAGTATTGTGCGCAGTTTTGGGCCCCATGTCTCAGGAAGGATGTACTGGCCCTGGAGCGGGTTCAGAGGAGGTTCACGAGAATGGTCCCAGGAATGGAAAGCTTAACATATGAGGAGTGTTTGAGGATTCTGGGACTATACTCATTGTTGTTTAGAAGGATGAGGGGGGATCTAATTGAAACTTTCAGAATACTGAATGGCCTGGACGGAATGGATGTTGGGAAGATGCTTCCTTTGGTAGGAGAGTCTAGGACCCGGGGGCACAGCCTTAGAGTAAAGGGAAGACCTTTTTAGAATAAAGATAAGGAGAAACTTCTTTGGCCAGAGAGTGGTGAATCTATGGAATTTACTGCCATAGAAAGCTGTGGAGGCCAGGTTATTGAGTACATTTAAGACTGAGATAGATAGGTTCTTGATTATCAAGGGGATCAGGGGTTACGGGGAGAAAGCAGGAGAATGGGGTTGAGGAATTTATCAGCCATGATTGAATGGCGGAGCAGACTCGATGGGCCGAATGGCCTAATTTCTGCTCCTATGTCCTCTGGTCTTATGGTCTAACCAGACCTGTACAAACTGACAAAATGCTCCCTGGATGGTTGAGGAAATGGAGGTGGTGGGAGTGGTAGAAGTAGTAATCAACCTTTGATCTCAAATATTTCCTGTAAGCCAGTAGGTTGTTCATGAGGGGAAGAAATGCACGGAAGAAGTATCTTTTGCATTTAATGTAGGCAGTGGAATGTTGTGAATAGAATTTGATATCAAATCCAATCAATTTTCAGCCTGTTATCATGCATTGAGCAGACATTTCCTGAATGTGAAGCTGATTTTGTTTTTCTCCCCGGTTCCTGACCAGTTCGTGTTGAAATGAGTTGAGCTTGCTTTAGAAAAGCAACGATGCAGCTGTTTTCCTATCCAACTACTTAAGGTAGCTGAACTAGAGACCTGTCAAAGTTTAATGCACATTGGCCAAAGCAACCTTGCAGGAAGAATACAGATTGACTTTTTAAAAAGTCATTCTCGAGATATGGGTTTCACTGGCTAGCCAGCATTGATTACTCATCCCTAATTGCCCAGAAAACAGTTCAGAGTCAACCACTTTGCTATAGGTGTGGAGTCACATATAAGCCAGACTCATCGAGATCGAGAAGGAGAATTCCTTGCCTAAACGGCATCAGAGAACCAGATGGGCTTTCATGACAATGGACAGTAGCTGTGTCGTTGCCATTAAGTCGGCTCGCTCTTTTAGATTTCGATTGAATTCAAATTTCACGATCTGCCATTGTGGGATTCAAACCCATGTCATTAGGATGTTAGCCTGGGGTTCTTTACGTTCCATTCAAATTTAAACAAGTTCAAACTTTGAACAATTATGCATTTTTTTTTTTGCATTCTGAACACTAAACCATTGAATGTGGTTGATTAAAATCAATGATGAGAAAAACCCATTTAATCCACCTGACCTGCACATCTTTAGACTGGGAGGGAAACCGGAGGAAACCCATGCAGACACTGGGAGAATGTGCAAACTCCACACAGTCGCCCGGGGGTGGATTTGAACCTGGGTCCCTGGCGTTGAGGCAACAGTGCTAACCGCTGAGCCACTGTGCCACGATGTCTCTACTCAAAGCTATTTATTTTCCTAAATAAAAACTGAAAGAACTGCAGATCCTGTAAATGAGGAGCAAAAACAAAGTTGCTGGAAAAACTCAATAGGTCTGGCAGCATCTGTGAAGAAAAAAAAATCAGTTAAAGTTTTGGGTCCAGTGACCGAGGGAAGGGTCACTGGACCTGACGCTACCAGACCTGCTGAGCTTTTCCAGCAACTTTGTATTTGCTTTCCTAAGCAGATATTGATAAATTAACATTTCTTCACGTTGTATGCAATCTGCTGCTCACTTCCCATTTATCCAATCTGTTACTGTCCCTTTGCAGTCTCTTTGCATTGTCCTCTCTACTTAGTTTCTCATCTGACTTTGTATTATTTGAAAATATGGAAATGTTACACTGCAGTCTACTCATCACACAAATAGATTGTAAATAGCTGAGGTTTAAATACTAATCCTTGTGGTACTTTCATAGTTAGAATCTGAAAACTCCCTGCTTATTTTTAATGTTTCCTGCCCATTTAACCATAAGTCAATCCATGTTAATATATTTTCCCAATTTCATGAGTGTTAACCTTGTCATTATCTCTTGTGTAGCACCTTTTAAAATGGCATCTTAAAATTCAAATAGCTATATCCACTAGTTCCTTTTTCATCCTGCTGGTTACTTTTTCAAAATATGAGACTTTCTTTGACTCTGCTTAATTGCATGACTTTCTAAGTATCCTGTTAAAGTAGATTCTAGTGCTTTGACTATTACTAATATTGGCTAACTGACCTACAACTTCCTTTTCATTCCCCTCTTTTGCTTACTACCTTCAAATTCTCTGAGCTGTTGTGGAAGATGAAAACCAATGCATTCGCTATACCTGCAGTTACCTCCAATAGAAACCTAAAATGCTGGCCATCAGTGCATGGGCATCAGTGACTTGAAACACTAATTTCTCCTGTATTATTTCTTGACTTATGGTTCTTTAAATTTCACATTCTGACACTTGCTTTTATTTCTGGAATGACTTTTTGTGATAGGTATTTCTTTAATATTTCTAGTGTTTCCAATATCCTCCTCTTTTCTAATTTAGCTTGCCTTTATCTCTACTGGGTGAATGTTTAATTTCACTAGTCTCTTCCTATCTGCACATGGGTACAATCTGTTCATTTATTTTCATGCTTCTTTGGAAGTATAGTTTCATACTTCTGTTTTCCTTATTGGTTTCTTTCTCCGCTTTTGCTCAATCCTTCTAAATCTTTCTTGCCCCCAGCTTCTACTTTGGCAACATAAGCCTCTTTATTTAATCTGGTATGGTCTCTAACTCATCTTGCTAGTCACAGTTGACCACATTTTCTTCAAGTGGTTTTGTGACAAAAAGGAATGTGCATTTGTTGCAAATTGTTTTACTCTTTAAATGCTAAGCATCACTTGCCTGTCTTTTCTCCATCTCAGTTGATCTGCAGTTCATCCATGTGTTTTGCTTTCTTTAATTTTGAGATCTTAGTTTTGAACTTGACTATATTGCACTTCATTGACAATTTGAAAGCGATCATGTTATGGTTAGAGTGGCCCCTTTACTGCAGGGCTATTAATTAAACTTATTGCACTGTGACAGCAATATTGCCTGTACCCTATTTGGTTCCTTGACATATTGGTTAGAGAAATCATCTTGTGAATGTTGCATGAATTCATCCTGTACATTATTACTGCCCTGTTGATATGAACGGCTCACATGATTAGTATGTTGTTTTTAATGAGTATCTCTAATTTGCTGATTTATAGTATATACTATGTCCTGCAGTACTGATACTGTTGGGTATATGAAACATTGTGTTTATTGGCTCCCTGTGTATGTTGATTCATTACTTGTTCATCTAGCTGTTAAACTGCAGCACTTAGGTTACTATGACACTATTCCAGTTAGCATTAATAGTTCTGCAAACAGCTGAACTAGGCTTTTTCTCTTCTGTACATGATCACTATTTAATGGTTTGCGGACTGAGCTCATTCCACTTCCAGTTTACAATTCAATTTTAGTTTCATTTCCATCTTAACTGACTGAAACTAACATGAACAAATGCATGCTGTAACCTAGTGAATACCCACATGCATCACCTTCAGTCTAGAAAATCTGCAGGACGTTAGTGTCAAACAACTGACTCGATAATTCCGTAACTAGTCCCAGCACTCTTTCCTATTTTGGCTCAGCAAGGTTTAATCACCAAGAAACATGTACTGGAAATGCACACCAGGTCAACCTATTTCAGTAAAGAGGAGAGAATTTCTATTTTTAGTTTCGATCCTTGATCAGAGTGGGACTGACCAGGCATACAGACACTTCTCCCCACAGGTGTTCATTGACCTGTGTATTTTCAGATTTCCAGACTTTGTGTTTTTATTGCGATTTAGTTGTCAAGATGGAATGAAATGATAAATTGATGTGGTTTGTAGTTAAAAATATTGCTGATCAGTCTTTTACATGATCTGTATATTACTCTTTTCCTCTGTTACACCTTGACACTATTTATCCTAACTTTTGACCATCAAGAAGCAATTGCTATTGCCAGGTTTGAAGATTGTTGACAGCTGATGTGAGCTGGCAAAGTAACATTTTGTTTCTGAATTTGATTTTCAGAGCAAGAACAACAAAATGCTTTTGGAACAAATGGCAGCACTTACTGCTTCTCATAGAAATGAGGTGGAGAAACTTAGGAATGAAATAGAGCACGTCCAGCATAGAACAGAAGAAACTAAAATCTTGAATCTGCAACAACAAATTGCACAACTCGAAGAGGAACTGGAGACTGCGCATAAGGACAGAAGAGATGCAGAAGTTCAAGCATCTCAGGAGTTAACTGCATTGAAACAAGTAGGATTGTACTTTTTTTTTTTTGCTGCAATATCTGGGGTAATTCTTGTATAGCCCATAGCATTTTGTTTGTTTTTAAAGCAAGATTCACTTGTTTTAGCAGCAGTCTCCATTTTGGTAAACTGGTTTCATAAAGGCATTTGAATTCTATTGTTTCCTGTGAATAATGGACTATTAATTTCAAGATGCATTCAGTCTTGGTGATTCATTCATTTCTGACCCTATCTATTACCAGGTGGCTTTTGATAAAGGAACTGTTAATTGACAAACCATTGTCTATTTTAAAAACCAATGCTACTCTACCTGTGTTTGAAACGACATTTGACATGGAGCTGGTTAGGCATCCAAACATAGCAAAGACTTTATTCCACTATACAGGGTTTCAGCCTGAGAGTAAACTGTTCAATGCCCAAAGGTTTCTTTATGTTCTTGTACAGTTATGCCTGTTGCTCAAGCACACACTTGGTTTACACTCATAACAGTGCGAGGCAATTACAATAATACCTCATTAGAAGGCTAGCTCAGTTTGTGGTTGGATAAACCCTTTCCACTGCAAGACTAATCAAACTTCTCTTGTGACCATGTTTACATTTTTCAAGCAACATGATTCTGCATACAGTAATTATCTCTGTCGCATTAATGTGTTTCTATTTGTATAAGGTCAGATGACACCAGGATTATAGTCCAACAGATTCATTTGAAGACACAAGCTTTTAGAGCATTGCCCCTTCATTTAAAATGATAGTGACTGATTTCTAAGTTCATGCCATGTTCCCACTTTGTCTCCATAATCTGAAGTCTTTTAAAATCTAAAACTTTATTAATAAACTTTCCTGAATATATTCAATGGCTTAACCTTGACAGCCTTCTGTGGTAGAGAATTCCACAGATTCGTTACCTTTTGAGTGAAGAAAATTTTCCTCGTCTTAGTCCTAAAATGGTCTACCTTGTACCCCTCATTTCTAGACTCACCTGCCAGGGAAAACATGTTCCCTGCATTTCTTCTGTCTAGCCTTATTTAAAGTTGTCTTTTTCTGTGGCTAAATGGCTGTATTGCAACTACTGGGAGGGAGTTCATGTGAAAGCCTGGGTGCATCTATATGGTTCGATATTAACATGTTTTGAGGTTTACAGTGGAGGCAGAAGACAGATTTTTAGTGATTTCACAACAAAAATTACACGCATTACAAAAACAGTTTGTGCCTTTTTATCATGTAGTTCTAAGCTAAGTTTGCATTTAATGCTTTACTTCAGCCTGTATAGCCTCAGCCATATATTGCCCTATACCAACCTCTCAGCCGGCTATATTCCCATCCAGATATCCATCTGGTTGTATAATTTTTGAACCAAGAGAGTCTAATGTAGTTTAATCAAAAACAGTTTATTTAATCCATTGCATGATGTAGATGGCAGGCTCATATTGTTCACCCCGGTTGTTTGTGAGACTTTTATGTTCTTGTTAGAAATGTGGTAACTTTGAGTTACTGTGCCATGAATCATGAGTAGATCAGACACAACACAGTCATTAAACATTTGGAATTTTACAAGACCTAGCAACTTTTTTTTTTCTGATGGTAACCCCCGACCACCACAGTAATGCTATTGGACTTCACACTGAAATATTTTGAAAATTATTGAATAATAATTATTGAAAATAATTTGAAGATTATTTTCATGGTCTGCAACCCTGTAAAAATTATTGCTTTTGGTGTGGTTTAGCAAATGTTTTTGAAAGGGTAAAAGGGACAATTCATAACCTTGAAGCTGACCAGTTGGTATTATAATACCAATGTTTTCTCTCTCGTTTTCCAATCATGTTTCTAGGTAAGATCATTTTTATCAAATGAATGGTGCCTCTTTGCAACAGCAGATTGGTCTGGTCTCTGGAACTGTTGATAAAGTGCATGTGCCAGTCTGTTTAGCCAGTATTGATATCTAAAGTGACCCAAATATTTGAGTGCAGCTTGAATGTTATGATTTAAGGTGTACAATGTATTTGCCACAGCTTAATTTAAAATGTTTGAAGGTTTAAATGTAAGTTTTTTTTTTTGCATTCTTAATTTCCTATTGAACATTATTCTAATAATATGGACAAATGTGAATTCTGATCATACCTCTCAATGCTGAATTTATTGTATTGAAAATTTTCTATGGCGGTTTTGAGTACAATGATATATTGGTTATGTTATTGAACTAATCCAGAGAACATAATCCTAGTCATACAGTATAGAAACAGCCTTCAGACCAACTTGTTCATGCTGACCAGATTTCCTAAACTACACTAGTCACATTTGCCTGCATTTGGCTCATCTCTCTCCTAAACCTTTCATATCCATGTACCTGTCAAAATGTCTTAAATGTTGTAATTGTACTCTCCTCCTCTACCACTTCTTCTGGTAGCTCATTCCATGTACACACCACCCTTTGTGTTGGGGGGAGAAAGTTGTCTCTGGGGTCCCTTCTTTAAATCTTCCCCCACCTTAAACCTATGCCCTCTCTAGCTTTGGATCCCCTTACCAGAGGGAAAAGACCTTAGCAATTCACCTTATCTATGTTCCTCATGATTTTATAAACCTCAGAAGTCACTCAGCCTCCTACACTTGTTTCTTTTTTGGGGGGGAGGTGAAGCAGGTGGGGGTGGCAGCAATGTATGTCCCAGCCCCTCCTTTGTGACTCAAACCCTCCAGACTTGGTAACTTTTTTTTTGTGCACCATTTCCACTTGAATAACATGCTTCCTATAGCAGGATGACCAGAATTGTACACCGTACTCCAAATGTGGTCTTACTGATGTCTTATGCAGCCATAACATGATGTCCCAACTACTGACTGACGAAGGCAACCATGCCAAATGCTTTCTACACCAGCCTGTCTACCTGTGATGCCATTTTCAGGGAACTATGTACCTGCACTCCTAGGTGCCTCTGTTTGACAACACCCCCCAGGACCCTACCATTAACTGTGCAAGTCCTGCCCTGGTTTGTCTAACCAAAATGCAACACCACACATATACTTAAATTAAACTCCATCTGCCAGTCCTCAGCCCGTTTGGCCCAGTTGATCAAGAACTCATACTCTTAGAAAACCGTCTTAGCTGTCTACTATACCACCAGTTTTGGTGTCGTGCACAAACTTACTAACCATGTCTCTTGTATGTTCATTCAAATTGGTAATGTAAATGACAAACAACAGTCGACCCAGCACCAATCCTTGCAGTGCACCACTGGTCACAGGCCTCCAGTCTGAACAACAACCCTCCACCACTACCCTCTATCATCTCCTGTCAAGTTAATTTTGTGTCTAGTTGACTAGCTCTCCCTGGATCCCATGTGATTTTAACCTTATTAAGCAGTCTACCAAGTGGAACCATGTCAAAGGTATTGTCTACACAGACTTTGACAAAATTTACTGCTCTGCCTTCATTTATCATCTTGATCATCTCTTCAAAAAATTTCAGTCAAGTTAGTGAGACATGATTTCCCATGCACAAAACCATGCTGACTATTCGTAGTCAGACCTTGCCTTTTCAAATGCATGTAAATCCTGTCTCTCTGAATCCCCTCCGACAACTTGCCCACCGCTGTCTACCAGTCTGTAGTTCCCTGGCTTCTTGCAGTCTTTATTAAATAGCACAACATTAGCCACCCTCCAGTCTCCCAGCACCTCACCTGTAGTTATAGATGACACAAATATCTCTGCTAGGGGCACTGCAGTTTCTTCCCTAGCTTCCCACAATGTCCTGGGATACAATTGATCAGGTCTCGGGGATTTATCTACCTTTTTTGCATTTTTAAGACTTTCAGCACCTGTTCTGTAATGTGGACTCTTTTTAAGACATCACTATTTATTTGCCAGAGCTCCCTAACTTCCCATGAATTTCTTCATGGTAAATACTGATATGAATTTCTATTTAGGATCTTCCCAATCTCCTGTGGTTCCTCACCATAGATGGCCTTGTGGATCTTTAAGGAGCCCTGTTCTCTCCCTAGTTACTTTTTTGAATTTAATATTTAGAGAGTCCCTTCAAATTCTCCTTCACCTTATCTGCTAAGGCTATCTCATGTCCCTTTTTTTTTTGCCCTTTTGATTTCTCTTAAATGTTCTCTTACACCCTCTATGCTCAAGGGATTCACTTGATCTATACCTGACATATGCCTTCCTCCTCATTGTTCTTGACCAGAGCCTCAATATCTCTAGTCATCCAGTGTTCCCTACTCCTGCCTGTCTTACCCTTCATTGTAACAGAAACATGCTGGTCCTGAGAGCTCAGTAATTCACTCTGGAAAGCCTCCCAGTTGCCAGATGTCCCTTTGCCTGTGAACAGCCTCCCCAACCAACTTTTGAAGGTTCCTATCCAATACCATCAAAATTGGCCTTGCCCCAATTTAGAACTTTAACTTGTAGACCAGGTCTATAAGTTTCAACAACTATTTTTAAAACTATTGGATTAAGGTCACCTGGTCCTGAAGTCCTCAGTCACTTGCCTGCCCTATTTCGCAAGAGGAGGGTAAGTTTGCCCCTCCTCTACATATTGATAAATGTGTCATTACATAACTCTTATTCCTCTCCATCCATGCCCTTATCAGTATGGCAGTCCTAGCCCATGTTTGGAGAATTAAGATCCCCTACTATTACAACCTCATTATTCTTACTACTATCTGTGATCTCCCTACATATTTGCTCCTCAATTTCTTGCTGACTACTGGGGGCCTATAGTACAATCCCATCAATGTGATCCCCTTTCTCTTATTTCTCAGTTACACCCATATAGCTTCACTGGACAGTCCTCGAGGAATATCCAAGCACAGCCATGACATCGTCCCTCATCAAAACTGCTACTCCCCCTTCTATCGTTCACATTGTATTTGTACCTCGGAACATTGAGCTGCCAGTCCTGTCCCTCCCTCAGCCATGTTTCTGTAATAGCTACGATATCCCAGTCCCATGTTCCTATCCATGCCCTGAGTTCATCTGCCTTACTTGTCAGGCCTTTTGCATCGA